AGTTGCCACATTTCATACCAGCTTCCAGGCACTCTTCAGAGATAGCCCCATGTAGATAGCAATCCTACAATTATACCATAATTCTCACTGTTCTACAATGGGTCACACATAACAACATAAGAGAACCACCTTGCTGGATCAGAAACAAGGCTTATCTAGCCCAGCGGTTTGCTCCCAGAAACCAACCATGTGCCTTTTGTAGCCTACAAAGAGGGCATAACAAAATAGCTTCCTTCTATTCATGTTCATGTTCTGTAGCAACTGGTACCCAGAGATCGATACACTAGCTTTGATACTGGAGGTTAATGCACAAACACACACCATTTTGACCAAAAGCAACCGATTGCCTTAACCTCCATGATCCATCCAATTTAATAGCTATAACTGCATCTTTCAAAAGCCAATTCCACAGTTTTACTATGCTCTGGCAAACTTTTCCTTTTATTTGTTCTGAATCTTCTACCAATTAACTTCATTAGAAAACCATGGGTTCTAATATTATGGGATAGGAAGAAAAATCTCTCCTAGCCACTTTCTCCACCCCATGCATCACAGCAAATTTCTCCATAATGTCCTCCTTTACTCTCCTTCTTTTTCAGCTAAAGAGCCCCAAACATTATAACCTTTCCTTACATGGGAACTACTTCACTCACTTGATAATTTTGGTTGCCATTTTCTCCTTTTCCAGTTCTACAATATCCTGACAGAATTCTATAACAGATTATATGTCAGTTCTGTAAAGTCTCATCCGCAAGCACAGCCATGGTTTGACCTATGTAAAGCAGCTTCCTTTGTTTTGAAAGAAAATAGGCCATACCAGCTTATGTGCACTAGAAAAAGGTTAAAGTGCCTGTTTTTCTACATATGGGCCTTAGAGCAGTCCACCTACCAGGAGTAAGAGCAGCTCTACCTCAAGTAGGTATGCTCTCTCTGCATCCATTAAAACAGCCTCTTCACATGATGGTGTCAATCTTATCATGCCTCAGGAACATGTAAACTAGTATTCACATGACCTCTCTGCACACTTCAGCAGGAGCACAATTCCAGAAAGCTGCCAAGAGGACATCTGCTTCTTTCAAAGAATACTCTGTGTAAGTTTCTTGTCCAGAAAATTTAGACTACCATGATGCACTCCTTCAGTCATCTTAACAATGCTGACTTCGCCCTCCTGGCTAAGCCAAGCACCTTGGATAGCTAGGAAAAAGATTACAGCCATTGGGAAGCCATGACAGAGAGGTATAGGGGAAAGAGAAAATTCACAGCACTGAACTATTGCTCCAGGCATTATGTGCACAGAATGAAGAAGTGTCATGTGCTCACCTCAGCAATGTGCTGCCTTCCCATTCCCACCAATTCCCAAGAGGGAGTAAAAATGCATATGTACCACGCAACACATCAGAATCTTTAAAAAAGAGAAAATATTTCAAGTGTTTGCAAGACAGATTGCAATTTATGATCTAACTATGAGATGAGCAAACAATGATAGGATTACACTTGCCTGCTTTTTAATATCAGAGGTATGTTCCTCTAAAACCTATCAAACTTCAGGTCATAACCTTGAAACACTCTCCCAGATCCAGGTATCTTATGTTACTTGACACCAAATTCTGGCAAACTGGAGCAAGCAACTCCCAGTGGGTATGGGACTGAAGGCTAGGTTGACATGGGGCATCTTAGCTCCTTTGCAACTTGTAAAAGAGCAGATAGGCTGTTTCAGTAAGAATCACTGAGATGAGATGAGATGAGAAAATGGCTTGATTTTCCACTTGGTCTTCCAGCTCTAAGCAAACTTTGATAAATAGATTACCAATGGGCCATACTGTACAGACAGTAGGGTATAGTTCCTTGTACTCCAGAAATGATGGCTAGTGTACTCTTCCCTGCTACATTTGGACTACTCTGGATGACACAACAGCCCATCATGGAGTATTTAACTACTGGGGCGCTACAGTTCATGCTGTCCACCATTATAAATCACCATTATAAACATGCATGCTGTGGCCTATCATAGCATAGTAATCCAACTGGGGAAGATTATTCACGGACTAAACAAAGCTTGCATAAAGCACAGTCTGTTTTAGGTTTCTGTGAGAATTGTTGATTCCTCAAATAATCCTCCCCACCACAGGCCACATTAACCCAAAGCCAGGAGACTGCATATTCATAATGGTGGACGGCATGCATCACAGTGCCCTAAGCAGCAATCCAAACTGGCTAACCGTGTGAGGAAGAGGACTGACATGTAGTGAAGACCACTCCGAGTGCTCCCCAAACATGATGAGCTGAAGCAGCATGGTATAATCCCAGTAAGATCCATCTGCAACATTGCAGAGGAAAGAGGAGGGCTAACTTGCAGGTCAAAGCTCAACAACCCTTGCCAGCCCTGCTTTACCTACAGTACTGAGGATGGGCTGGAGGGAGCAAAGGATTTTCCAGGTCTCTTTCATTGTTTGATACGATCTTTTAAAACTGCAGTCTTGTTTGTTCTACAGTTACTCAGAGAGGCTGCTGCAAAAGTGCAATGTTATGAAATCTGATCTTTAAAGACAAATAATAAACAAGGGTAAAAACTGTTTCAAAATAACACAACACGACACACTATTTCAGAGCAACTTCCAGAATCATTAAAAAATTTTAATGAATTCTCTAAAAGACTATACTTCATTCCCATCTGCTTTATTCACGCTTACTCCTCTCTAAGCAGTGTTTGTTTTCCATCTAAAAGGCAGACAAAAGCAAATATACATAAGCATGAATGTGTCTGTGACCACATTCCACCATCTGTGCATTGTCTAAAAGCTACCCATCTCAACTTGGCACCTTACGAAAAGGGAATGAACTAAAAAAAAAAAATGAGTATAGAAATCTGCCCAAGTTCTAGCAGAGCCTTTTCAGTGCAGAGAGGTGCACCTTTATATAAGCACGGACACACAAGTATCAAGCCATGGAGCTGACTCAGTGAAGCAAGGGGAAAGAAGTGACAAGGCAAAATTGAAACTAACAGATTGATTTCACAATAGTGCTGCTGAAGGTTCCAAGCTTCAAATTACTAGAAAACATCTTTATCAAACAATTCTCACTGAACTCTTATTTGCTGTATGTAGAAACAAAAGCACAGGACTGCAGGCCCTTATAACAATGAGTGCTGAGAAGGATTTAATTCATAATAGTTTAATTTAATCTACACTTTCATTTTGAAGGGTCTCTCCAGCCCCACCACTCTTGTTAAGGAATGTATAATAATGTGCCCACAACACATTATCACAAAATTTTAGTCAATGAAGCACATTGTTCATACCAGAGATGGACAGAAGATAGATCTCTTGTTCATTTTAAGTATACAGACTTAAAGGAGACAGAAGGATCTCTGCCTTCTAATTTTTTAACAGTAGTTAAAGAAGTTTACTGGTGAAATAAATTTTGAGAGGTTGTGGATTTTTCTGTGGAAGGACTGTAAATTCAACACCAATTAGAGCAAGACGGACAAAGGATATTGTGTTTATCCTGCGTGGCAGACTTCCTCTTTCCCCTACAATGCTAGTTCACATATATGAATATTTATATGGTAGGACAGTTTTCTGTTCTGTTTTGGCACTCAGGACAAATTCCTGGGATCAGAATGATTTAATTCTAAGTACAAGATTTTGCATCAGCCTCTGGTTGGTGAATCCTGGTGTTTAAGGAAAGAAATTAAGTAGATCCAGCAATCTTGAAGTCTGTTCTACTATTTCTCCATAGAAGGGCACATTTGTCCTATCATTTACCACAGTGATGAATATATAACGTCATACCATAGTAGGAGTAACATCTATCAACTTCTAACCTATGCCCTCATGACAGGGACAATGCACAAATCAAAATGGGTCTGTCATCCAGTTTTCCTAAGTTCAGTTCAAGTGTTCTTCTTAGGCAGCCTCCACAAATGTTCAAATTCACAAATGAAACAAACAGATGTCTGGAGAAAGCTGATGACGTGGAATAGAATTGTCATGTTGCAATATCTCCATCAGTCTTGCCAGATTAAAGGAACTGCTTGGCATCAATAATGTCAGCTGTTTTGCAATAATAACTCCAGGAGCCTCATTACCAGCAGCTGCACTTAAGAGGCAACTTTCAGTGTCCAAGAAGCTTACTTTAAAAAAAAAACACCCTTCTATTCTTTTTAAACTGAGATTGCATTAGTAAGGAAAGACAGCTTTCTGATGAATAGGACTTTGAAAGTTTAATGACCATCCCTTAGGAATGCATCGTGCCTTTTCTTAGCAAACACAACAGCAATCAAGAAGCCACACCACTGCCAAGTCTGGAGTTTCTAAACTGCCTGTACATCAAGTTAATGGGTCAGCAGAAGACCACTTATGCTTTACCAAGAGAAAGCAAGAAGAAGCCGAGTCATTCTGGCCCTCCCTACTCAGCAGTAAAGCAGGTAGTTTGTGGAAGGGTTATTCCTACAGAAGGAAAGCTGATGATACCAGCTTCTGCAATTGCTCCTCATTTAGCAAGTCACCACAGAATAGGAAATAACCTTACTTAAGGAAAGGCCATAAATCAGAGAGTTACAGAGCATGGGAATTCGACATGGGGAGGTTGCCCTTTCTAATCTTAGTTACACTGTGAGCTACCAGCCCTACAACCCAAAAGAGAGCTACCAGCATTCCTAGCAATTTCTCATGAAATTTCTCATGAAACTCAGCAGAAGCTGTTGTCCTATCTGCTCAAAGTGTTTCCTATACAGAAGGGTTGTGTTCCCTTGAGTCTGTCTCCAGACACAGTGCTTTGGCGTCAATTTCATGCTGTTTGACACAGTCTAATTGGGGGTGGGAGCTGTGGGGAAGAAGGTCACAGGGTCCCAGTCAAAGGGCAGCAGTTAGATAAACAACTTCTCTCATACTGAGGATGTATAGTTGGGGTGGGAATAGAGGCAAGTCCAAAATCAGTTCAAAAAATTTAAGATTTCTGCTGAATCAGACTTCTTTAATCCAGCATCCTGTTTCCTACAGGGCCCAAGCAGAACTTGAAGACGACACACAAATGATACATTTATTTATTAATATCATTTAAACCAGTGGATTTCAACCTTACTACAGCTGGGGACCAGTGAAAACAGGAAAACTACCTTGAGGACTGCTGAGGCAGAAACAAAAAGCACCATGCACATAATACAGTATTCCATGTATTAGTTTCTCAACACAATACCCCCCAAAAAAAAGAAAATTCTCCAAAACAACCTGAAACCGAGCAACAAAAAATGTCAACAAAAACGGAAATTGGTGCAGCGTGGCTCCCACTGAGCTGTCTCCCCCCTCCCTGGCACCCAGGCAGCACAGCGCACCCCCCGCGAATGCGATGCCAACCAAGGAGGAGGTGGTGGAGCGCAGCGAGCTCCTGCACCGGTCCACAGTGAGCAGGATGCAATCCCCCACAGACCAGCATGAACTCTCCCATGGACTGGTGGTTGAAAACCACTGATTTAAACCATGAGCATTGCAAATGGGGCATTTATATCTCCTTTAGAAAGTAAAGCTTGATCTAACCAACATCAAGATCTGCACAGAAATAGCAAAAGTAAGATGTTTAGTTATGCAAACCACACAAGCACAGAAGATAGCTATCAACCTAGAAGATAGCTATCAACCTATAAACAATCTCATTTTCAGTAATGTTAAAGCTCATTAGATATACAGACTTTTCATATATATAGACATTACAAGCAAAGTAGGTTCTACCAATGAATCACCTACTTCAAAGTTTTATCAGCAAGCTTTTTAAAAACTAGTGTGCTTCCAGTGTTGGGAGTATATAGGCCCTGCACGTGGACTGTTCGCCAAATAAAAAGTAGGGTGCCCTTTTTCTGCACTTGGGTGTTCTTGTGATCACAGAAATGTTGACTGGGTTCACACAACACAGAAATTATGGGGTTTTGTCTTGTGCAAACCAAAACCAATTTCCAGGATGGCTTGTGAATAAGAACAAAGAAACCAAACCACTCATGAGCAGATATAGCAGTTGTCTACCTACAATGGGTTGTCTTATCATTCACATTGGTATATCCATCCTTAGCATGGGTAGGAGAAAATCGGCTAAAAAACTCCATGGCAAAAGCATCCAATGCCCCTTACCACTCCTGCTTTGTGGTTACTGAAAAAAGCACCATTGCCACTCAAAGTGCCTAAGTGGCACCTGGGGTCAGCTTGCACTGCCCCACAAGCACAAAGAGCCATTTCAGTCTTAACACAGATTCCCCACTTTTCTATTCTTTCCTTTTTGGGGGGCAGCAGGGGGAGATTGTAAAAGCCGACTGTCAAGATAGCCTGTACTATCCCTGTTTGGACAGTTACGAACAGTTCCTTCGAAATGTCCCAGTGGCTCCCCTTGGTAGCAAAACTGTAACACACACACACACACACACACACACACACACACACACACACTTTAGCTGCAGTGGTGCTAGCATGGGGATCTGGAGCCTCAGCTGGGGCAATGTCCAGATGGGTGCCTACTGTCAAGGTCCAGCAGATACCAACTTTATTCCAAGTATATTTCTCCCATTTGGTTATTCTTGATAGCTGTAAGAAGGTGAATTGTCAAGACAAAAAATATGAGGAAGCTTTGGCAGTGAAAATGGTTTTGGGAGGATTTAAATCTCCTTCATAGCAAGATCTTCAGCTTTTTACCCCCTTTAGTTCCCACCAGGATGCACATTTTGTACTTTAAGAATGTTGCTTCCCAAAGTTTAGGAAAGTGCAAATCTGCATGCTCCCCCACACTTTTTTCCAAGGGAAAAAGTTTTATCAGCTAGCTGTCAAAACTGTAGATCCTGTTAGAAGGCAGGTTTTGAGGGGGTTGTTTTGAATGGGAACATTTATGAATTTGGCTCAGGCCAAAGTGCAAAATGTATACCTCAGTGGAGAAGAACAGCGAGGCCTAGGGCTTTGGCTGAGAAGAGGACTGAAATCCACACACAACCACACCCTCACCTGAATTACTAAAGAACCATCCTGCCTTCGCTTTTTCTTTTTCTTTTTTTTAATTTTATTTTTGAAAGCAAAACAACTATAATAAACAGAACAAGCTGAAATAGACAAAGTTGCCAAAGGAGTTCGATACAAATCCAGCCTGTACAATCAGCCCCCAAAATTTGTCCATCAACACTCCATAAAAATGTAACACAAAAGAAATCCTTAATCTATACAGCAACTAATACTCCAATCACTTCAGATCATCCGCAGCATTTCCCAATCTTTTCTAAGCACCTCAGATCCACTTATCCTGCTGCACATTCCTCTAATAATCAACTAACCAACATACTCCACTAGTCCATTTCTCCATTCTTCAGTTGTTGGGGGCTCCAGTGATCTCCATCCAGAACCAGTTACAATTCTGACTCTGACATATTCCCTAAAAGGCTCTCTGACACCATATTTTTAAGATTCATGAAAGACCGCTTTGATTCTCTTAAAAGAAAAATTCAATGCATTAATATTAAATAATATTATCTTCATTCTGTCTCTGAAACTCAATCTGAGGAATGACTACCTCTTTTCAAATCTGATGGTTATCAAGAAAAAAAGGGGATTACACATGTTATTTGGAGCCTCCTCTGAGCAATGTCCAGAGTCAGTACCTGGGCAGGAGGCACCCTCCTGGACATTACCCCAGCTGGAGCTTCAACTCTAGTGCTAGCAGTTTGCAGCTGCACAAGTACAACTAGTTTTTTTATTAAACTTTTTTGTGCATAATTTTGTGCATACTCTATTTTAAAAGTTTGGTAACCATGGGCAGCGCCTCCAATGTAGTGCTGGGGCACTACTCATAGCTTCCAAATAAGGATAGTGCAAGCTGGCTTGAAATCTGGCTTTTGCAATCTAATAGAAACCACAAAAAGAAAAACAAGAGAGGTAGGGGGTGGGGGGGTGGGTGTGTGTGTGAGAGAGAGAGAGAGAAAGAGAGAGTTTGTGGCAAATCAGAAATGGATCGAGGCAGCAAGCGGGGGGGGGGGGGGGGTTCCAACTGCAGTGTCCCCAGGATAGCTGTAGGAGGACGGAGGTGGCAGGAGGGGAGCAACAACCCAGAGTTAGTGATCATCTATCAGAGTTCACAATGGGTTGTTCATACCACAATCAATTCATTGCAGTTCAATATCAGGGTGGGTTGTTGTAACAAATGAAAATGCCCACAGTTTCTGAAAATGGAACGCATCCACAAAACATTATTTAGTTGTAGTACCATCACACCAATCTGGTAAATTTAATCCACATTTTTATCTGGTAAATTTAATCCAAAAACTTTAATCCACATTTTTATTTGGGTTAAATCTTTCTAGAAGTGTCAGCTACACAACTCAGCCAAAAATCGCCTTGGTAGCACAGGACTGATCTTGTGAAAAATGGTGTTATAGCAGATGCAATTTTATTTATTTGTCTGTCTGTCTGTCTGTTTTTGGCACTTGAAGGTCTCTAGGGGGCAAAAATAGCTCCAAGATCTCCCAAATTTGCTCACCTTAGCTTCATTTATTGTATCCCAAATCAATCAAAATGGGAGTTTCAACCTGAAATACTCCAACAAGCCAACAATGGCTGATACAACGAACAAGTAGCTGAGTATTCACCCTTTGTTCAACATTTCTTTCTCACTCACAGCTTAGTTGCTTTTCAGTATCCAGCTAGTCAGCCAAAGCCATTTCTCTCTGGTATCTCCAGACTAGAAAGGGAAGCCAAGGAGGCAGAGACTAGGAGAGAGTGGCACAGCTGGCAGGCGAGATGGAGATCTATGCTTCTGCAGCTGCTCACTCCCTACAGCTCCAGTGTCTCCATACTAAGTGAAGGGTAAGCAGTAGGGGATGTGAAAGAAGCCCACCAGAAATGTGGTAACACAGGACAGCAAAACACATAGTGTGATGCCATATTACCATTCCCCAAAAGCTGTAATAAAAATAGCTTTTTTGTTAAAACATACACAGCAATTAATGTATACATTATGGCATCTCAACATAATCAGGAATGTCTGTCTCCAACTGGTTCAAGAACCAAGACCAAGGGTTCAAGAACTTGATAAGCAAATTACTATTTTCAGTGGAATACGTTCACTTCATCATTGGTTTTAAAGATCCTTTAACTCGTACGGCCAGAAAGTGACTTGGCCACCACAAACCTCTACATTGAAGCAGTCTATATTTTCCTGACTATTCTTTGAGGCATGCATCAATCTTTAGACTCTTCAAGCTGTAAGACATTCTTGTTCTTCAGTACCCTTAATATATTAGCAAGATAAAACAAAGAATTTTCACACTGACTTCTAACACAGCAGAATTTGTGCTCAAACAAGCCTGGGATGCAAGTTTCATAACCTAGCAGCTCTCTGCACCTCTTCAGATTTTCTTGATGTACTACTTGATATTCAGATAATACTCCAGAAAAGCATTCCAGCAAATCTCAAGGGTCACATCAGAACTTAAAGGAGGAGGCGGTCCATCAGATGTTCCATCCACAAATCTATAATACTAAGCACTCAGCAGTCACTGCTGCTTGCAAACAGTAATTTTTATGGATCTATTACCAGGGAATGATCATAGCATCACACATTATCCATCCAAAAATACTTAACAATATCCATTGAAAATACACTGTGAATGGAGTTTATGAACGTTCCTTCTCCAACTAGTGATATTTGCACAGAAGGTCTATGAATCAGTTCAGGATATACTTTTATTTATTGATTAAATTTATAAGACACCTTTCTCTAAAAGAGGCTCAAGGAATCTTATAGAAAGGATTAAAACTTACAAAGAAATAAAACAAAAAATGCCAAACCCCAGCAAAATAATTAAATTAAAAAGCCTCATTATGTGTTGTCAAATACCTCAGAATAGATGAAAGCCTTTACCAAACAAAAAAATGAAATCTTATGTATGTATTTTTAAATTTATAGACAGCACCTATAGCCCTACTATAATAGTTAAATATTATAAAAGTAAATAAGTCTCTACACTTCTAAAGAAAAATAGTGTTGCCAATTTAGAGCTTATTACACTGTGCAAAAATGAGAATGGTATTTCAGACAATTTTCTCTATGTTTTCTTAACCACAGTTTCCTTAAAGATGCAGCTTTGACCAAATTTTCTGAAAGCATCTGAAATGCTTGTGATGCAATAATTTAGCATTATGCACATGAAGTTCTACCACAATAAAGTCAAGATAACTTCCTTACAACAGTCAAATGCTCTGCAAATTATGAGAGATCATCATAGTTGGCTTCATTTGGAGTAAGTCCAGATTTATTCCATACTCTCTCAACAGCAGAAAGCCACTCACCCCCCCCGCTGCCCCACAGCCGTAATAGAACTCTGTACAATTTACAATTCCATTACTGAAAGCTCCTAATTAAATTGGGAATGCCTCATCATTACTGCCATCTGTCCCAACAACAACTCTTTTTCTCAGCTTCAAATGTATGAAGGAAAAGACAGCCACATTCTGTACATTTCAGGATCTATTACACTGTTCTGCAACTTTCTAATCACACTGGGGTGGAGATGAAGTGTGCCAACAACAGCAGGAACCAATTAAGAATTCAATAGCAGATGAATGATCATTGCCCTAGAATGATCTCTTGCATCCCTGCCAGAGAATATCACATTATCCTTTTTCAAGAGGAAAATCTAACAGCAATTTGCCAGTGGGGCAGCACAAGTACCAAGTGCAGCTTGTGAGGGCCAAAACCGGGCATGTAGATGGTGCTCGTTATTATCCAAGGCTTAACAGAGGACACATGGAATTTTCTTGAATGTCAGCACAAGCAGATTAAAAAGGACTGTGTTAAAGTGGTGTTATGAATTATATTCTACTCCATATCACATAATTTAAAACCATTCAAGTTACCCCAATTAGTGAACAACAATAGGTCGGGAAATAGGTAACCATCTTATTTACCTAACTCAGAGCTGTGTCCACTCCTTACATTTTTTAAGATTAGGATGATAAGCTTTTTGCAAAGAAAGAATTTGTGATAATGAAAGGTCCTTAAAGAACGTATGTGCAAGAATGTCTGTCCTACCCTGTCTTGGTCCCTTTCCAATGCCATTACACAAATACTTGAAAACCATTTTAACAATTATTACTTCCAGTAGTTGTGAACTGTCCAAAGAGCTTTGGCTACTG